GTGCTCGTCGACTGAGGAGGCTGGCGGCTGCACGCAAGAGCTGATGGGCCTGTTCTCCACCACCACCATGAGTTGGAGGGGGAGGGGGTCCTCCTTCTCCTCCTCCTCCTCCTCCTCCTCCTCCTCCTCCTGCGCCCTCATCCTCCAAGGGGTCCGACCGGAGTCGACCGCGGGGGAGTGTCGTAACGGCGTTGTGCGCTCGAGCGCAGATATTCGCAGTGCCTTGTCGGACCATTGGGGGGAGGTCTTTAAAGCCCGGCGAGTTGATCCCGACAGGCTCCGCAGTTATTTAGACCGTGTTTTCGATGGCTCGGGTGTGTTTGCGGATGGCTCCGGCTTCGTTTCGCTTCCGACCCCGACGCGCGCGGGCCTCGAGGTGGCCATGCGGCGTGCCCGTAACTCAGCTCCTGGACCTGACGGGTTCACCTACCAAGCCTGGGCCGCGATACCTGAGCAACTCGATATACTGCATGATCTATCCTTGCAGCTTTATCGTGGCGACCCTGTGCCCCTCGATTTGAACGACTCTGTCTTTGCGTTCTTGCCGAAAGGCAACAATCCAGAAGACGTATTCGATTGCGTGCGTCAGCCGAGCAAAGTCCGCCCTCTCTCGCTGCGCAACACTGACACCAAAATCGTCGCCAGCGCTGCCAATCATCAGCTACGTCAGGTTGTTGCCAAGCGAGTGCATGGCAATCAGCGTGGCTTTGTCACCGGAAGAAACTTCATCCGCAACATTGTGCACATGGATGCCTCAGCACGTGCTCTTAGCATCGCTCCAGGCGGTGACCTCAACATGCCCTGTTTTGTTTCATTTGACATTGCTGCGGCATTCCCATCGGTCGCCCACCAGTGGCTCTTCGAAGTTCTTCGCCGGCACGGCGTTCCTCCAGGCTACCTCAACCTCCTTCGTGCCCTCTACTTTTGCCCCCGAGGCTTTGGACGATTCGGTGGAGAGCTCCACTTTATGTTTTATTTGTGCAGCGGGGTTCTCCAGGGCTGCCCCCTTTCGGGATCGGTCTGGGCGCTCATTTTCGACCCTGTGGTGAGGTTGTTGTCTGAGGCTGTTGAGCAACCCCCGCCAGGAGACATCCCAGGAGAAGTAGGAGGTTGTGCCGACGACATTGGCACCCTCCTGCCCCAGCTCCGCACGCTCGCACGATTAGCCCCGCATTTTAGTGCCATCGAGCGCCATGCACACTTGTCTCTACAGCATGCCAAATGTTGCATCGTGCCGCTCTGGACTGAATGTACGTCCGAGCTTGTGTCGCGAATCAAGCTGTGGCTCCAATCTGAGGTCCCTACGTTCTGTTCATTTGATGTTCAGCCGGCTACAGCGTATCTCGGTGTCCAGTTTGGCCCCGGTGGAGGCCTTCTCGACCAGTGGCACGTCGCGTCCCAAAAGTGGTGGCACCGGGCGATCGAGCTCCCCTCGTCTCGTGCTGCCGCGCCGCTCCTGGTGTATCAGTATAACACGTATGCTGTTAGCACGCTCGGCTATCTCGCCCAATTCTTCCCCATGTCCCCTCTTGCTCTCTCGCGTGAGGCTCTCGCTCTTCACAAGCTGCTCCGTCTTCCCCCCAATACGTTTTCTCGCGCCGATTTGTTGTCGTTGCAGTGGATCGGCTCGACGCCGAAATCGCTCATGCTCCTGGGTGTCTCGGCAGCGTGGCGCACATTGACCCACACCGTGCCCGACTGGCACGCTGCCTACGACAAGTTGCAGCAGGCCGCCGATGCCGCTTGTGGATCGCTCCCCCTCTCCGCCCCCCGCTGGGCTCTAGGGGAATGGTGCGCCCCGTGCTGGAAGCATGGCCAAGCGATTGTGCAGTATTTCCAGGAGCTCACCGCCTCCACCCCTCGTGTCGTCCAGCGTCGTCGTAACGGCTTGTGTCGCCCTCTCTTCCCCTTCTCGGTTCGTGTTTGGGACGATGCCCGGGCTGAGGGGCGCCGAGAGATTCGCAGTGCTCTCCAGGAGGTTCGTCCCCCCAAGCTTCAGAGAGCTGTAGGCACTGCGCTCATGCACGTTGTGTTTCCTGATAGATTGTTTCTCACGATCGCTCGCAGGCTCACTAAGTGGCAGTTTACATGTCCACCGGCTCTTGATACGAGATGGGCTCTTGTGCGTGAATGTCTTGAGCAACTCAGGCCTGCGTGGCGGTGGGCGTACACCAAGAGCGTGTGCGGAGGCTGGACCACAAGTGCACGCATGCATGTTTCGCGGCACACCCGTGACTGCATCTTTGGATGTGGAGGCCCTGATGCGATAGCTCACTATTTCATGTGCCCTCGGATGCGCCACCATGTCGCCTTAAGCTGGATGCGACTCGTCTTTCCTTCGGACCCCCTCCTCTGGCTCGGCCTCGGTGCCCCGACCGAGTACGGCACAGAAGACTGTGAGATAACGCGCCTCCAGGCTGTCGAGGCCACCGTCCTTGCCTTCCACATTTACCACAAAGCCAAAGATTCTGTGCCTCTGGAGGCGCACCTCTCATATACAGAAGCCGAGCGGATCACTGGTGCTGCGCGTTTGGCGCTTCGCGTCTAGTGCGGTCATCGGGAGTCCGCCTTCAGGGTACGTCTACTCCTCCTCCTCCTCCTCCTCCTCCTCCTCCTCCTCCTCCTCCTCCACGTCCACCTCCTTCACCCCTCCAACTTATGGTGGTGGTGGTGGAAAACAGGCCCATCAAGAGTGACCCTTCGCTGGAGTGACCTGCGGTGCGGGCCCGCAGGGGTATAGAGTTAGGGGGACGAAGAGTGGCATAAGCATACAACCTGGGAGCTCCGCGCGGATTTCTCGGATCCGCGCTGGAGCCCCCTGGCGGCGCCTCCGGCGCCGCCCCTGGCGTGCTCCGCGCGCTGGGGAGGGGGTCCAGCGCCGATCCGAGAAATCCGCGCGGACCTCAGAGTTTTTATATCTATGTCGTTCTTCGGTCCCCGAAGAGTTCCCCAGCTTCGGCCAGCACGCTTGGCTTTGGCTCCCTCCGCGGCCCCCGAGAGCCACGCACCCCAGGGTCGCGCAGGCCCAGGGTCGCTCCGACGTGCAGCCGAAGGCTGGCCCCGCGGGGGGGTGGCCACGGACCAGCGAGCCATCTGGCCCGTGGTGGTGGGGCGGCGTGGCCCCGCAGGGCGGCGAGCGCAGTTGAGCGGGGGCCGGCCCTGCCCTCGGCACATCGCCACAGATTGATTGATTACGGTGTACATAGCGCGAGCACCGGGCAGAGCCCGCGTGCCGTCGGCCACGCATCCCCGGCAGGGCCGGCAGCCTGCCACACGACCAGCACCACAGGCCAGCTCCCAGCCCGCCCAGGCCTGGCGAGAAAAGGGCAGGCGGCCCCAGGGAGCCCGACCTCGGCCTCGGCCCCCGGGGGCCCCGCCGGCTTGCGCTCCGCAGGCTCCCCCTCGCTTCTGGGGGCCACCGTGGTGTGCTGGAGCCTCGTGCGGGCGGCGCCTGCAGCGGATGGGGGAGGGTCTCGGGCCTCCCGTGCCTTCCGGGGAGGAGGGGCGATGGGCCAGGCGAGGCCTGTCTCGTCACGGGGAGGGCCCGGAGGTGTTCGGGAGCGGGGGGGAGGAGGCAGGGTGAGGACGAGGCGGAGTGAGAGGAGCGAGGGGAGGGAGCAAAAGGAGGGAACAGCGAGAGAAAGAGAGGAGGAGGAGGAGGAGGAGGAGGAGGAGGAGGAGGAGGAGTTGGCAGGACCGTAGCGTCACCAGCCAGAAACTATCATTCGGAATCTATCCGAGGCATGCCGATGCCGATTCGGTTGTTCCGAACCTTGACTCAGAGAGAAGAGAGAGACAGAGGCCCCACTGCCCACCGCGCAGGCATCCGCTGTCGCCCGCCAGGAGGAGGAGGAGCAGCAGCAGCAGCACAATGCAGCAACACGATGCCATTTTTGATGCCGTTTCCCGTTTCTTGGGGGCCATCAGCGGGCCCCAGGACCGTCAACAGAAACGATTCAGAGTACCAGAAGCGGTTCCGGGGAAGACGTCGAGGCATCCAAGCTTCCCCGTGGAAGAATCACGACGTCGGAGGTCTGGGGGCAGGAGGCACTGGCCCCCTGGTGATCCGACGTCCTGATTTCCCGATCTGTGGGGCCCAGCTTTCTCGACCCCTTCGCGGGAGCTTGTGTCTCATCCAGGACTAAGTCGGGCCTGTCCCTCTACAGGAGGAACATTTCAAAGCAGTTCAAAAGTAGTCAGGGGACCAGGCTTTACTATTTCTGTATGTTTTTGTTTTTTTGTTTGATTTTGAATATTTGTCATCCCAAAAAGCCTGTGGGGGGACATGCCCGACCTAAATCCAGGACCGTCTCGTTGACAGTCCTGGGGCCCGGGCAGGGCCTGCAGACCCCGAGCACGACGCGCGCAAGGCAGCCGGGCCTCTGTGTCCCAAGGCGTCGGGGGCGCCGCGGGGAGGAGCAGCAGCGGAGGTAGCACAGCGAGGAGGGGGGGGGGGGGGGGGCAGCACGCCCCCGGGGCTTGCCACACGCGTTCCTGGCCCGAGGTCCTCCCCCCCCCGGAATTTCAGCTCCTGAAGTGTGCCGGAGTCCCCCGAGGGGTAGGGGACCGCATGCGAGCCCTGCCCCCTCCCCCCCCCACGATTTCCGAGGGGGAGGGTGGGGTTCACTTCGCTCGGGAGCTCCCGGGTTCGCATGTGGTCCCCTATAGGGGGCCCTCCAGGCTTCGACGGCGGTGCTCTGGAGGCAGCCTGCAGCCTCCCAGCTGGCAGGGATGGGGTCACCTCGCGGGCTGGGCCCCGAAGCCCTCGGAACAGGTCGGGGCCGCCCCCGGAAGCCTTAAGTCAGGCGTGTCCCTCTACAGGAGGAAGATTCAAGGATAGTAAAAAAATAGCCTGGGGCCGATGTTTTATCATCTTCGACTATCTGCATGGTTTGTTGACTACTACTTGTTTTTCTTCCAGAGCCCGTCTGTCCGTCTGTATAGGAGGACGTTCCCGACCTAACGGAAGCCCGAGAGCATGCCGAGAGCGCTCGAGATCC